TATAACCTAATCAGCTTAGATAAAGAAAGTGTGAGAGATTTATACAAAAATAGATTAAATCAAAAGTTGGAAAATGAACAATTTAATAATCATGAAGAACATTACACTCACATAAAAATGCGTCTCCAGGAGGCAGCAACAGAAGCCATTGGATACCAAATCCAGAATAAAAGAAAACTTCCATATCGGTTTGACGAAGAAATAGAACAAGAAATAAAGAAGAAAAAACACCGATATCAAAAATTCTTAAATACAAAGAATATAACATATAAAATAATCTGCAAGGAGTCGCAAGCTGAAGTACGAAAAATGATAAGTCAGAAGAAAAATTAAGCATAGCAACAAAAGTGTAACATGATAAATTCACATCTAGGAGGACGAAGAAGCACAAAAAAAGTCTTTACGACAAGATAAGAAGAGAGACATAGTGTCAACAATAACAGTGGATGACTGGGACCAATATTTTGAGAAACTCCTAAGGGAAGATATATCACAATTTAAAGACAGCAACGAAAAACAAAATATAAATATTTTAACTTCGCCCATACGAATAACAACGAAAGAAGTGGACTATATATGTAGATCTATAACAAAGCACCTGGGCCATGTAATATCCCTGCAGAGTTAATTAAACACGGTACAACCAAACTATATACAAGTTTAGCCAAACTGTTCCAAAACTGCATTAATGGAATGACAACCCCAGAGGAGTGGAAGACATATCATTCATATCCACTATACACAAAAAAGGCAGAAGGGATGAATGTGACAATTACAGAGGCATTGCCGTAACAAACTCGGTCGGTAGAATATAAAAGTAATTAAAAACACAATAGAAAGCGAATATAAAGACTTAGAGGCTGAGGAACAGGCAGGATTTAGGACAGGTAGATCTACTGTTGACCACTGATTTTGCATTACACAGATTATTGAAAAGAAAATAGCCGTTAATCAAGAAGTACATTTATTGTATGTAGACCTACGAAAGGATTATGATAGCGTACCACATTATAAATTATGGGAAGCGTTAGAGAAAACAAACATAAGAATGAATTTAATAAATGCGACGAAGGAACTATACGCTAATGCTAACTCAAAGGTAAAGGTTGGAAATAATCTGCCTAGTAGATTCCAAATGAATAAAAGCCTTAAGCAGGGCTGCTGTCTCTCCCCGACATTATTTAAAATTTATCTAGAACAGGCTCTAAAACTGTGGAAGCGCAAATGTAGAAATATGGGAATGCAGATTAACAAAAATAGCATATACACTTTGTCATCTGCATATGATCAACTGATGATAGCACAATATTATGAAGATATTGAGTATAAGACTCGAAAATTAATTGAGGAAAGAGATGAAAGTGGTGCACTTATAACAGATATAAACCAAAAAATGCAGAGATGGACACAATATTGAGCACAAGTTTTTAGAAGACAAAGAGAGAACAGAAGCACTAAAAGAATTTAAGGCTGATACTTGGCCTGACATTATACGAGAAGAAATTGAATATGCAATGAAACAAGCTAAAGGTGGTAAATCTCCCGAGCCTGATAAAGTTCCTATCGAATTACTTAAAATTGTGAATACTGAATCTATTGATCTTCTGGACCTATTCAATACCATATATAGAACAGGTATAATGCCTAAAGAATGGCTCCAATTGACATTCATACTGCTTCCCAAAAAAGCCAATGCAAAGGAGTGCAATGAACATCGCACCATAGCCTTAATGAGTCATATCTTGAAATTGTTTTAAGTAATTCACAATAGAATACATAAGAAATTAGATGAAGACATAAGTAATACACAAATAGGATTTAGAAAAGGACTGGGAACACGAGATGCACTGTTTGCAGTAAGTGTTCTTTCGTAGAGATGCTTAGATATTAATCAGGAAGTATATGCCTGTTTTATTGATTTTGAAAAGGCATTTGACAGAGTGCAGCATAATCAGCTTAAAGAAATTTTATTGAATAAAAACATAGACAGTAGAGACATTAGAATCATCTGTAACCTCTATTGGAACCAAACAGCAAAAGTGAAAGTTGAAAACGAACTGACCGAGGATATCCAGATTCGCCGTGGGGTCCGCCAAGGGTGTATTTTATCACCCTTGTTATTCAATTTATACAGTGAAGCCATCTCAGAATTAGCGCTTGCCGAGGTCAGTGAGGGCCTTATAATAAACGGTGAGCCACTTAATAACAGGATATTCTGACGACACCGTCCTTCTGGCAGGAACACTAGAGGAACTGCAACACCTTGCTGAACAACTAAATATATATTGCAACGATTATGAACTAAAAATAAATTTGAAGAAAACCAAGTTCATGGTATTAACACAATCCCAAAACATCAAAGTTGAGCTAGTACTAGATAATACAGAAATTGAACAAATATCTTTGTACAAATACCTTGGAGCATGGATCACAGAAGATACTGATCAGACAAAAGAAATAAGATGCCGCATTGAAATTGCATGGTCAACTTTTAATAGAATGAGAAAACTTTTTTGTAATCGCGATATCAATATATCGCTCAGGATAAGAATGCTTCGATGTTATATTTTCTCTACCCTTTTGTATGGAGTTGAAGCTTGCGACACTTAAAAAATCCAACATTAAAAATCTAGAAGCATTCGAAATATGGTGTTACAGACGTATTTTGAAAATATTATGGATGGATCGCAAAACAAACGAACAAGTTCTCGAACAACTAGGAAAACAATGCGAAGTTTTAAATACCATAAAAATCAGGAAATTGGAATACTTGGGACACATCATGAGAGGTGAAAAGTACGAACTACTAAGGAATATAATGCAGGGTAAAATCAAAGCTAGAAGAAGCGTAGGAAGACGTAAAATCTCGTGGCTACGCAATCTCCGTGAATGGTTTGGATGCAGTTCAATTGAACTATTCAGGCCCGTAACCAACAAAATTATAATTGCCAGAATGATTTCCAATCTCCGATAGGAGTGGAACTTGAAGAAGAAGAATAAAAAATAGAGACTTGAAACCAATATCCGAAAAACCGAGTATATATATGTACCAGCGGGAAACAACATGACCTCAATTGGAAGATGGAGAAGTTATCAAACATAGCAACACATATAAATATTTAAAAAATTTTATTAAAAATCCTTTGTAAAAGGTTAATAATTATACAAAAAGTAGGGAAGACCTGGTTGTTTATGCATTGAGAGATGAACCAAATATCCAGCTTACCTACATACTATCTTATCCTACATACTAAGCGCATGTACTGAGGAGCCAAATTGACCATACCGTCAAATAAAAATCCTCAAGGAATCTACGTTCCTGTAGTTGGAGGTATACCATATATTAAAAATGTTTATTAAAAACCCTTTGTAAAATGTATATATTAAATATACCTTTTACAAAGGATTAATATTAATATACCTTTTATAAAGGATTTTTAATAAAAAATTTTAATATATTGTATACAGCCAACTACAGGAACGTAGATTCCTTGTGGTTATATAAATATTTAGGTATGATCATCACAAAAGAAGGCAACGTAAACGACACAATAGAGGAGAAAAACAACCAAGCAAAAAAAGCAATTTCCCTTCTCAATAGTATCCTGTGGGATCAATCAATCTCTAATAATAACAAGCATAAGATATACAATATAATCATTAAAAGTATAATTACCTACAGTAGTGAAGTATGACAAATAAAGGAAAGATACAAGAGAAAACTGAGACAACGGAAATGGATTTCTGGAGACGTTCAGCTGGAAAATCTGGAAGAGTAACGAACAACAGAATAAGAGAAATTATGAAAGTAAAACATACAAAATAGTCGACGATATTGGTACCCAACAACTCAGATGGTACGGTCATGTACAGAGAATGTCTGAATAACGTCTCTCAAAACAAGTCCTAATGTGGACCACTCATAGTAGAAAAAAAAGAAGACCCCGCCTTAGTTAGAAGAAGAAGACTTATGGATGAATCGAGAGCAGTGGCAACTGGGTATCGGAAGACATAGGAGAACGTTTTAATATATTAGTGAATTTTCAATAATCTATTGGTTTTCAATTCAGCAGTTTAATAAAAACAATAAAGAACCATTAAACATTATGTATTGGGATTTAATTGCGAAAACGATTGCGATAAAATTTAATTTGAAGATTATTTTTTATCATCTATTATAATTTTTAAAATTTTACTATTCTTTAGCGGCTCTGTCATAATAATCCCATTATCCAGTGTTACTACAATACCTGCGCCTTTTATTTCGCTATTTTCGGCACGTACAAAAGCAATACGTGCGATAGCGAATTTTAAACGATGCCAGATGTTGGGAATCAATTGGAAACTACAATTTGAGTCATAAACTCGTACCTTAAGTCCTTAAGTACCGTCGTAAGACAAAATTTTATTTATTTTATCATTTGAAAACCTTTATTCTTTCTTGTAACAATAGAACGTATACAATCATGTAATAAATAAATAAACTTTCTGTTTCCTTTTGAAAGTCATAACTAATAGGTCAGACGGGTTTGAAAACGTGATCACGCATTTATTGTCATTCATTTATTTCGTCGGTATATTGCGAAAACCAGGTAAATGACCAATTTTAAAATATTGAGTTAAGTATACCAAAATTCTCAACTTTTTCCGCTCTACATAAAGGTAAAACCCAATAAATGATACGACTTACCATTCAGTAGATAATTTGTGGAATACACAAATAAGTTACACCTAACCAACTTTTCATTTTCAAATAAAACAATATATCGCTACTTACTTCCATAAAATTAAAGTTCTGTTGCATGTAAAACACAGTAAGCCCACATTGTATATTACTATACCGTACAACAATATATTTCTACTACTGCATACCATATTCAGTAAAAAGGTGATAAGTGACTTTAATACATTTTACGTGGATTATTAATTAAATTTTTTTTATATCTACTATTAAAAATCTTTAAGTACACTGATTTCATTCTACCTAAACACGGGTTAAGTTAAAATTTAGAAATGATTACTAAGCTAAAACCATAAGTGATCTTAATGGTGTTTATGATATAATTTATCTGCTAATAAATTAAGCTAATGATATAAGAATATGCTAAAATTAAGCGGCATTGTCAGAACAATATAGTCTCAATGATGGAATCCATTTTTGATAGTGACTTTTCTGATGTAGACCCCACATATCAGCTAAGTGAAAAGGGATCACTCTCTCTAGGAAGTCTATATGAATTACAAACAGCTGAGCTTGTTAGCCTAAATGATGAGAAAGAAAATACTGAAATAGGTGCACCCACGAACAATTTAATGTCAACTGAAATATCTAGTTGAATATTAAATCTACTTCTTGACAAAGTATGGAAAGACTTATGTCCACTAAAACGTTGGAGAAAAGCTATATCCAAAGATTGGGTAATAAATGTTGCAAAAAGGAGGCGTGTTGAGGGTTTGCCTTATGAGATAAAAAAAAAGAATAGACCAGCAACATTGCTAAAACCAGTTAGTTGTTCCGAGTGTTTTTACAAATGTGCTATTTATTTCAGGGAAGAATACAGACAAAGACTATGTCGTGATTATTGCATGTTAGAATATATAGGCCAGAAAAATTTTTTTATTGCACTTGCACGTAATAAAACGGGAGCCACCAAAGAGAGTCGTTACAGTTCGTTGAAGTTTATCAAAACCACGTGCATTTTCCAAAAAGTATTACTTTTCTTTGAATGGTCAAGACATACAGGTATGTGAGAAATTTTTTTGTAAGACACCTTGTATAGCGTCGTTAATACAATATGTTGTAAGAAAAACTGATATTCTAGGGTGTTATGCAGATACGGATAAAAGAGACAAAATAAAACAAGCAGTAAAACCCGAAAAATCGTGAAGGCTCATATTGAGTCTCTTCCAACCAAGGGCCCTACATATATTCGCCAAAGTTCAAAGCGTAGATTTTTGTACAAAAATTTAAGTATAAGAAAAATGTACTAACTTTATATAAATTACTGTGAGCAGAAGAAACTGGATAGTGTTAGCGAAATTACATATCGAAGAATATTTTCTAACGACTATAATTTAAGATTTTCTGTTCCTAAAAAAGATCAATGTTTACTTTGTAATAAATATGATAGGGCTAATCCAACTGACAAATCGGATTTAAAGGATAGTTACAGAGGACATCAGAAAAGAAAAGACGTATGTAATATTGAAAAACAAAATGATAAGAAAAGATCTAATGAACAACGGGATTTTGTTTCAATTACTTTCGATCTACAGGCTGTACTACAGATTCCAAGTGGATCGACTGGACAACTGTGTTATTCTCAAAAATTATGCGTCTACAATTTGTGTGTATATGAAACCGCATTACCAAATGCAGCTTACTATTTTGCCTGGTCAGAAATTAACGGTTAATGGGCTATTCAAAACATAGACCATTTAAATAATATTGAACACAAATTTTCTGAGTCTGGACATTCCTATATGAAAGTTGACTCTATGCATAGTAGTATCGAAACCGCTAAAAACACAGATCTATCTATGGGATGCCAGATTACTTGTCTGTTTTTCAAAATACAAGAGAAAATAAAAATATCAAGGTTGATGATAAAAAAGTATGTAAGAGACCATACAAATGTAAAGAATTTAAATACTACGACTTTTATGATTTAAAAAATTTTGTCACACACTCTAATTAAAAACCGGAAAAAACACCAAAAGGGCGAAAAAATAATGTGGTCAAAGATAAAAAGAATGAGATTCTTGAAAGGAGAGACAAACAGAATCTATTTTAATTATGACATGTCAACAAGCTTCAATTATTTCCTTACAGCTGATAACAAGAAAAAAGCACGCCAAATTATCAACAATACAAGCTATCTTGAAGAACTTAAGTAACTTTATGATGCACGTTTTTCAATTAGCATTGCAAAACACAAAGATTTGATACAGCTATGTGATAAGGGAGTGATACAGGAGGAATATTACGGGTGGTATTTTAATTTGAAAACGGGAAATGATGTAAAAGACATCTTGCCAGAGCCTGCTTTCAGGGACGAATCGGATGAGGAAGCCCCATAATAATAATATTGTTATTATTATAATATATATTATTGTTAATATTATATTCAAAATAAATTTGTTTTTTCTATAAAACTGGCTATCATTCATATAAATAATAACAAACGGCTGTTAATAAAATTTTCAGGGAAAATCAGTTAAATGTCATAAATATCGACTAATACCTTAAAACATTGCTATTACCTAGTAAAAGCCTCATATCTCGATCACAAAACTGGAAAATATTATACTTAGTTGTTAAATATGTTATTTAAAGAGTAAGTGATTTATTTAGATTCACAGGTAAAACCAGGTAAGTGATATCATTTCCAACTTAAATTTAGGATAAGTCAGATAGGTGTCTCAACTTTTTCAAACTTATGATAGTAATTTCAATGGATTATGAATATTTTTATCATTAAATTTTATTAAAAATTGTACAGTTTTCCTTGAAAATGAAAAAAAAAATCTTTTTGGTTGTAAAGTAGTGTTAATTTATGTGTTTTTAATCCAATATTAATTAATTGTCAAATTTCTCTTTGTATATTGACCGACCGTTAATAACACTATATAAAGAATAAATTTGCCTCAAATTTACTTTAATTACCTCAAAACTATTTTAAAGTTATTAATAAAGTCTATTTAATAAATATATTCCCAAGAAATAGAATACACTAGGCCTATGCACATATATAATGTGGAGGGAATAAACTAAAATATCATATTTCTCTCATTCCAATTCATAAGAACGTAAATATATATAGACCAGCAAAATATTGATAAGTTTACCAATCTTTCAAACTATTCAATGAATTTGTCTCACTATATACTCGTGAATCGCACCAATTTATATTTTTACGGGGGCAAATTGTATGGGATTATCTTTATATTTTCACTTCTTTACAAGGGCGAAGCATACACAATTAAAATGACCCCGGTTAGAATTCACTTCTAACATTTAACATGGTTGCCGTCAGTGTTTAGTTCAATTTGTAGATTAGTTATCTTTAGTTAAAATTGTCCGACTATAGGGGAAGCCCGGGAGTAAAAGTGGTAAACTTTTATGCATTTTTTCTGATTCCAAAATTAATATTCTCTGCAAAATTCAGCTTGGTCGTATAATTTTTCGGGGTCAACTCTCTGACACTGGACTAATAGGGTATTTCATTGAAAAAAAAATACATCTTTGATGCAGTACAGTGTTGTGCAATACCCTGTGCATGCGAAAATAATTTTAAAATATAAAAGTTATAATCTCCTGTTTTTGTAAATAACTTTTTTTGGTATCCCCTATAATATCAGATATGGACCCTATGGATATGGGTATCCCCAGATAAACGAACTTCGCCACAAAACATGAATAAAGATACACAGATATACAGATTGTATATATTTAGAAAGGCCGCTAAATAAGGACAACTGAAAAAACAATAACAATAAAATAAAAAAACGATACGAACCTTTGGATCATTGCTCGTTCGTTTAAGTTGTTGTTATTTCTCCTCTTTCCCATCTTTCTGCTGTCGTTCTTCAAAATTTTGGTTTGTTTATCACATATAGTTGCAACTAAAAGAGATAGGCAAACTCATAAAAAAATTAGAGAAAAATAAAATAAAGTTAAGGTATTGAATATGACCTTGTACATACAGTTGAAAGCCTGACTCTGGGCAAGTCAAAACAGACTTGCCTTTTCGTTCTTAGATCAGGCTAGTCACTACATGTTTTTGACACTTAGGCATGAGATCTTTGTACAAAAAGAAATGACTCACCATCTGAAGCTTTTGCAAGCATGGGTGCCAGCAGCACTTCAGGTACCGTAAGGTAGCGGGTAGCACTCCTCTACGATCCCGGTAGAGGACAGGCTGATACAGACAGGCTGATACGGCATCCCTGCCGTACGCTAGCTACTGACTTTCTCCTATGTCCAAGCCTTTAGGAGAGGCCAGGTCCCCAACCTATCTTCCTACCCATTTTCCAATCCTTACCACATCCCAATATATCCCGCTACCAACCCGCACTGGCCAGCGTGGTAGTGAAATGGCTAATTTTTCTCGTAAATGACATGACACAAACTAGAAAAAGGCCTTTAGTCCCCGGCGGCCCAACGGTCCCTGGTCACGGTAGCCACCAGATTGGACCAAGGGCAGAGAGTGCAAAGAATCACCAGGATAGACACGGCTACCATGGACAACGAACATTGCATATTGCCACTTATAACGTAAGAACGCTAGCAACTGAAGATAAGCTCATTGAATTACAGGAAGAACTTAACTGCATAAAATGGGATGTATTGTGACTTTCCGAAATACGAAGAAAAGGGGAAAATCAATTAGTTTTAAAATCAGGGTATCTGCTACATTCCATTGGAGAAAACGATAAGGCAGTTGGCCTCGTAGGCTTTCTGGTGCACAAGAAACACCTAGATAAAATTATAAAAATAGAGAGTGTAAGCTCAAGAGTTGTGTACCTCATATTAAAACTGAACGAGAGACGCTCTCTTACATGTATCCAAGTATATGCACCCACGACGAGCCATAGCGATCAAGAAATTGAAAACTTTTATGAAGATATACATAGAGCTATAAAAAAATAAAACCCACCACCTAATCTTAATGGGCGATTTTAACGCTAAACTTGGATTTAAAGAAGATAACGCAGAAGTGGCTATGGGCTCATTTGGATACGGTGAGCGAAATGATAAAGGAGGTGTGCTACTACATTTTTTGTTGGATCATCGGCTCTATGTGATGAACACATTCTTCAAAAAAAAACAACACCATAAGTGGACGTGAAAGATAGCTTAATCTTTGTTAGAATCTATGGAAATCAATAAATTAAAAAACACAGATATAATTCTGAATGACCAACTTGAGACAAACAATTCTCCACTTCTCAACCTATTTCGTTAGAGACTATAAAGTGTAAACGCATGCCAAAAATAGATCACTTGAGAAAGGCAATCAGCCGAAACAGCTGTAGTGATAAGAGTTAAAATAAATTTTGTGGAAGTTTGAAAACAAAGTTTTCGGTGTTTTATTACAGAAATAGGTGGAAAATTTTACAGGAGGCCTACGTAGGGTTCCCCTGTCCGGAAAGAAAGTACATAACTGTACACGTATAGTTCTATATTTTATAATACATATTAACTAATATGTGTAGATGCAGATACACCTCCCTGAAAATAATCCTGGCGGCGCCCATGTTTGCGAGTATTATTGTGGTTGCTTAATAAACAATTAACCTAACCTAATCTTACCTATTCTCAAATTCCTTATTATATCTTCACTAGTTCTAAGTTTGTGGGCCCTGAAAATAAGTTTTTTAGCTGCATGGAAATCGTTTAATTTTATTAGCACTTCGGCTTTAGCCTGCAATGCTGTACACGCCAATGTTATGTTCACGCCTTTCGGGTTTTCTACAAAAAAAACATGAACAGCTGATTATTTTTTCACTTATGCAAGTAAATGCAGTTTTGCTAAAAAGTATGCCAAATAAAAGTTTATTATTCTGGGGGAATAAGTGTTATTTTGGGCCCAGGCAACTGAGATTCATTTAGCAGCTTATAAAAAAATTAACACAGCAACAGAACATGTGGTCTAAAGTATATATAATATTTTATTTTGATATTAAGTAGTGAAAAAGAACTAAGAATATCATATATTCACTTCCAATAATATGAAAATTATTTATGCTGTGATTTTGACTTTAGGTAGCATTATTAAAGTGATTTGAATTAAAATTAAAAAAAAAATGTAGTGTAAAATGAAGTTACCACTCAAAGCTTCACGACGGTGCCGGGAAAATGGCGTTTATTGAAACAGTCTAATTGTTTTCAGACACTTGTAGCGGTCAAAATCGCAATCAGCACATCTCTGCGCTTCTGCTCTATTTAGACCCAAACTACTCCTATTGAAATCATAGAGCAGAAATACCTAGAATCCACACATTCTTTCATGGAAGTTGACAGCATGCATAGTACCATTGAAAGGGAAAAAAGGCATGTGTCTGTTAATTCTGTTATGGAGTGGATGGACATAATGAAAAGAGCCAGATCAAACAAAAACAGAAGCTCCGCTAATCCCTACCATGTCAAACAGCTGCATTTTTCCGATATGTTGGATCTTAAAGATCTCTCAAAACGCTCAATTAAAAATCGTCTGAAAGATGAAAATGGTAACACAGTCAGATGGTTTGAAATCAAATCTTTACGATATGAAAAATCCAATCCAGAAATAATAAAATTTCGGTACAGTTACACAGAGCCCTATATTGAACTGAACGTACGCGGAAGAGGTCGGAAAAATTGTGCGAATGAAATAAAAAGAGCTTATAATTAACTACTGCCAATTATTAACAAAAAAAGGTGGATTTAGTGAAGTTATGTAAAAAAGAAATTATACTAGAGAAACTGCATGGATGGTATGCATCTCTACCAACAGCCAATAATATACCAGATACAATAACCGAGCCAGCCGTTGAGGATGGCAAAGAAGAGGAACTTTTTTAATATTCTTTTTTATTATAACTTATTACGATGTATTATGTAATAAATATAATAATATGTAATAATTATATTATACGTAATAAATAATTATTACTAAAACTCATTATTGTTGTTTATGCAAAAAATCACATTGCACAAAATACATAGTAAAATATCTTCAAAGTATTAGTAACTTCAGATTAATAAATCTAAGAGCAGTAAATACACCTTAAAAAAGTTTGTTATAGAAAATTTTAAAAACCTGATTTATAGTGAACATTTTATCTTTCAACTTCAAATATCTCCATAACATCAAAATGTTAGTGACTGGGTAGTTCCGGAACGAACTAGTTCCTGGAACTAGTTCATTTTATATTATAAATGAAATAGTTCCGAAAATTAAATGGAACTAGTTCCGAGGAACTATTAACGTCACTCCTGATCTTCTATTTGATACCGTCATTTGTGCGCGAACTGCATCTCTAAGTATTTCTTCGATCGACGAAAACGAAAAAGGAACTAGTTCCGAGCCGGAGCCGATTAGTGGATGAACTAACATAGTTCCGAGGAACGAGGAACTGTATGATAATCGTGATCGGTCCGGTATGCGATGCTTGATCGTTGGCTGTAACTTAACGGATTAATTTATTATAATTGTGTGTAGTAGCCGTGTTATATTTATGTTATAGTTATTGTTAAATTATTTACTAGTCATGATATTTTTAGAGTTTAGTTTAATTGTGATTTAATGATTAAATTTTAAGAAATTCTTACGCTGATAGTTTCAAAAGTAAATATTTTTAAAAATCATATGATACACATCAGTATGATCCTGTTTGGCTTTCACGTGATTGTATTGACAATTGGTAATATGTAAAATGAATGTAGTTCTTACACCCAACGATATAATTAAATTTTACGACTTCCTATCTTCTATGTCAGAAAAAAATGCTATGTAAGTAAAGTATATAAATATATACAATGTGTTTAACATCGCACAGATTTTGTTTATAAATAAATCTTTGAAGAACAAAAAATTCTTAGAGAGAAAATAAATAAATAACAAATCAACAATCATAGAAAAATAATAGCATTTTGATTTAAAATTCAGCAAAATATGTTTAGATAAAGTAAAAAACCACTTCGTTATTTTCGTGAAATAATTATTTAAACCAATGCCTTCGACTTTAGTTTCCCATTGTTTACCATATTTTACTTTTATTTTATTTGTGATGTCGAATATCAAACCTAAACACTCGATCCGATTCATATCAAGATTGATCATACCGATCTGATCGCAAAGTTAGTCATAGTTCCAAAGAACTAGTTCCAGGAACTAGTTCCTTTTTAGGAACTAGATCTAAAGAACTAGTTCCTAGAAAGGAACTATGAAGCCCACCACGTGACTTCTCGCTGGGATATGACGATAATATATATTATAATACTCAGCACTCCATATAGAATATAAACAAACCTCGATTGTCATGATGTGATGCCACTCGTGAGATCTCACGGAAGACAAATTTTTAGTACCTAATAAAATATATACGAGAAAATCAGCATTTTTGAAGTGCTCGTAGATTGTCAACTTGAAATATTCATAAATCGACTGTTTTTAAATATAAAAGTGCTTGCACTACTTCAATTAATACACACAAAATAATATAAACAAAGCTTAAAAGGTTCTTTATTGCTTTGAAAGTGTCAAATATCGGTCCATAAACAACTGAAGTTTATGTATATTTTATCATCTTTAATAAATATCAAGATCAATAGACGGAATTTTGTATTAGTTAAAGGATTAACAGACCTAAATAATGTGTGTGTTTAAGTTATGAAACAAATCGGCAATTTCGTATAACAATTAAACAATTTACTTATTGTAATCCTTATTACAGATTGTAAATAAATGGGATGTTCAAAAAAAAAATATACTAATCATATAGCGAGGTACAAATTACAATGAAAGCAAGAGAATAAATAATAGGAACACTGGAACCGTTATATCAAGAAATAAGGGGGAAATCATTTTTCTGTGCGAATTTTTATTTCGTTGTGGATCAAAATAATTCTAGCAGAAGATAAACAACTGCAGAAAAGAATTCAAACCCAGAATAACAGCATGTAAAGACAGAGATGGTTCCATAATTAGTGACAAAGAACAGATACTAAACAGGTGGGCGAATTATTTTGAAGAACTGCTTAGCGACTGTCGTGAAGAAGACCAAATAGAAATTACTTGCCTGAAATGGATGAAAACACTCAAGAGCCGCCCCCCACCGAAGATTAAATTAGAGAGCCATTTCAAAACTGAAAAATAACAAACCCCTGGTTTGGACAATTTTCATGGCGAACTCGGTGGTGATACCCTTTTTAAACACATGTATAAATTAGTAACTGAAATCTGGCAACGGAAGGAACGCCCGCAATTAGGTGGAAATTAGGGAATTAGCCTGGAAATTAGGTGTAATGCCTCTTCACAAAAATTGAGATATAATGGTGTGTGATAATTATAGAGGCATCACCCTACTTAACGTGGCATATAAAGTATTGTCCAAAGTATTGTACAGAAGATTGATCCCCTATGCTGAACAAATAGTTGGGAACTACCAGTACGGTTTCCGACCCAATAAATCAACAATGGATCAAATCTTCACAGTCAGGCAGATTCTTGAGAAAACGCTTGAGTTCGGAGTCGACACCCACCACATACTCGTGGATTTCAAAGCCGCATACGACTCAATCAACAGACAAAAACTTCTACAGGCTATGGTGGAATTTCAAATGCAGTTTCATCTTGTTTAACTAACGAAACTTACACTCTCAGGCGTAGAGAGTGTAGTCAGAATCTAAAACGACTTTTCACGAGCCCTCTATTGTAAAAATGGACTGAGACAGGGAAATGGACTGTCGTGTCTCTTATTTAACCTTGCACCAGAAAAAGTAATTCGAGAGTACCATATTAATACGAATGGCACCATCTTCTAAATCTGTAGAAGTGGTCCGATATGTAGATGGCATAGACATTATCGCTAGGTCCACAGAATCTCTGATCGAAGCATTTCGATCAAGGACATCTGCACTGAGAATGGGATTAAAAATAAACGCACAGAAAACCATTGTACTAGATCAGGCAACCAGATACCTAGACTATTAATTGATGATCTAGAACTAAAAGGTGTAGACAGAAACGTGGTCACTTACACTGAACGACCAAGAATTGCTTAAACGTTTCGAGAGAAAAATTCTAAGGAAAATATATGGAGGAGTCCAAGAACAGGGTTTGTGGCGTAGGCGCTACAACTTTGAATTATATAGAAGTTTTGGGGAACCTGACGTTTTAAAATGTATTAAATTAGTACGCCTTCGATGGATAGGACATGTAATTAGGCGAGATGAAGATGCAACGATCAGAAACATTTTCGACCGTGTCCAGAGAACCAGTGGGAAGACGGGCCAGAGGAAGATCAAAACTTAGGTATCATTGTAATTAAAGCATGGAGAAGAGTTGCCAGAGACAGGGGAGAATGGAAGATTGTTCTGAAGAAGGCTTTGACTCATATGAGCTGTAATGCCACTGATGATGATGATGGTGGATCAAAATAATGAAAATTTCTATTTGTAAACAACTTTTACATATTTCGCGACTAAATCTTCATCTAAAAAGATTGAAAATAAACCGAAAATAAAAAAAATTGTACCAGAATTGAAAATATTTATAACCAGAAACAAGATATTTTTTAGAAACATTTTTCACAGTGATCAAGAATCCGTTATCAAAATAAGTGCTCTATCGTCTTTTGTGATTTATACGTTTTATTAATGTCCTTAAGTGGGTATTTCCGTTTTGACAATTTTTGCCGTAATAACCGTGCTAAAACGAAATACGTTTTATGCTCTATATATTTTCAATATAATTCAAAATAAGATTGAACAGATTTGGCTGCAAACATGGTGGACAGATGATATATATATTGTCAAGAAGAGAACCAATAGAAAATATTAAAATTAATACTCACTTATAGCTTCAACGGCCAAATTATAATAATGGATAGTTTTATCCATTTCTTTTTTCTTCTCATACAAAGCAGCTAATGACATATAATTGCTAATTAGTTGTTCATAAATATGATTTTCCTTGCAGATGTTTTTAGATTTTATATAGAACTCAATTGCCTTCGTAAAATCCCCTAAAAGCTCTTTGACTAGTCCGAGGTTTGAAAATAATCTTGCTTGCATATCAGCCTTTTCTAATTTGTTTACTAAACTGAAACTAAAAATAGAATTTAAAATCAGCTCTTACGAACACATACAGAAGAGAAAAATGCCAACAAATATCCAATAACTAAACTATAAATAGTAACTACATAACGGAAAACATTGATAAAGTATATAAATTTAATACTGATGAAATTGATATTTCATTGCTAATTAATTTTATTGTCAAAATAACTGTATACAAGGTATAAAGTAGAACCTCTACAAAAATTTAGTACTCGAACACTATATCAGAATATACTACAGAATATGCTACAGATGGACGAAGAATGGACCCCAACAGAAATGTATTAACACCTAAAGGAAAAAATAAACAAAGCGGCAAACAAAGTGCTGGGTATTGAACAAAATAAAAATACATATTTGGAGAAATACAGTGACGACTTAGAAGAGACGATTAAAAGAAAAAAAAGTGCATTTCATAAATGGCTAAACGACAGAACCCCAGGAACACGGGGAGAATATGTTACCCTCAGACAACAAGTTAAACAAAGAATAAAGCTCGAGAAAAACGAATACTGGGAGAGAATGTGCAGAGACATAAACAACACGATAGGGTATAACAGATCAACGGAAGCATGAAAAAAAAATAAAAAACATCAGAAGTAATAAACGAAGTAAAAATACCATACAGATAATTACATCAAAAGAGTGGACAAAGCATTACACAAAATTATTGCAGGAGAATAGGCCGGAGTATATCTCATACGACTCTGTGACAATAATAACTGAGGAAGCAGAAATCACAGAGGCAGATATAAATAAAACACTAAAAAAATCCAAAAACAATAAAGCACCAGGAGCAAGGAACATAAAAATGGAACTGCTGAAATATGGAGGCGCAAGGATAGTATCCTTTATACGAATGTTGTTCAATAAAATCGAAGCAGGAGAGAAGATTCCCGATGAGTGGAATTTATCATACATGTCCTCCATTTTCAAAAAAGGTGACAAAAGGTCACCAAATAACTACAGAGATATCAGTGTAATGCCTTCAATAGCAAGAATCTTTTCATCAGTTATAAAAGAAAAACTAGAACAACACATGGACCATTATAGCGAAGAACAAGCCGGATTCCGAAAAGCCTGATCATGTTTAGATAATATATTCATTATGAGACAGGTGATTGAAAAGAACAAAGAAAAAAACATTGAAACACATACGATAGCGTCCCAGGAAACAACTATGGGAAGAAATGAGAAGAATGCGCGTTAGAGAGAAATGGGTGAATATAACACAAAGACTGTATAAAGAAACATAAGTGCAAATAAAGTTAGGTAATGAAATAACAAAAACAATCACCGCAACAAAAGGCCTCAAACAGGGATGTGGTCTCTCACCTACACTTTTTAACATATATATAGATCAGGCTTTGAAAAGATGGTATAAAAAATGCGGAACAATGGGCATACCAGTACAAGAGAATATATTACATTTACTACTTTTCGCAGATGATCAAGTCATTTTTGCACACGACAAGGAGGATATGGAATATATGATAAGGAAATTAAAGGAAGAATATGAACTTTAGGGACTCAAGATAAATATGTGCAAGACCGAATACTTATGTATTGGACCCGAAGTTGCAGATTTGAACTTAAGTTTAGAAGAAGAGACTACCTATTAAGAGTTGTAAGACTTTTAAGTATTTAGGGTCAATGATTAGCCGAGATGGTACTTATATGAAAGATATAGAAATGAAAATAGCACGGGAAAACAAGCCACAAGAGCAGTTCATGGAGTGATATGGACACTCTAACCAAAAAAAAAAAAAAAACAAAAAGAGGATCTTTCAAAGCATAGTGATGAATATTACCCTATATGGAGCGGAAGTATGGCCAATGACAACAACAATACGAAATAAAATAAGAACAGTTGAACTGGACTTTATGAGAAGATGTCTACAAATCACAAGAGCGGATAGAATAAGAACGGAGGAAATATGGAACAGAATGGAAGTAGAATGCTCAATTACAAAAAAGTTGGAAAACAGAGCCCTGTAGTGGTACGGGCATGTACAAAGAATGCCAGAGCATAGGTGGTCGAAAAGAATATTAAACTGGGACCCGCCAGGAAGAAAACGAAGAGGAAGACCTGCTACAAGATGGAAAGCATACGTCGGAAATGCTATGATAGATAGAGACCTCAGAGAAGGTGACTGGGAGGATAAAGTGTTGTGGGGGACGAAAACGGTGAACTCATAATGGGAAAAGCTTGATACTGCTTACTTATTTGTATAATGTAAAAATAACACAGGTCGACATAATTTTTGGTGTTTTGAGTTTGACATGTGTCCTTAGCTAATACTAACACTGCCGATGCCGTCAACTTGACAACATCGGCAGTTGTGTATTGCGTAAATATAGTTGTTTGTAAAATCGGACTGTATTTTGTTTTATGAGTGTTTGTCGCGCCATACAATCATCTAGAAAGAGTAAGAACAGTTCCGATATATTTTGTTACGTGTCTGGTGATTGAACTAAGAAAAGCATCAACAAAACATAACAGACTTTATAAAGGAAGCTTATCACGCTTACTTCGGTATAAACCTTGGTGATCAGGACAAACCTTGGGCTCCACACAAAGTGTGCTTTCAGTGTGTCGAACTACTGAGAAAATGGACAAAAGGTACACGTAACTCTTTACTCTTCGGCATTCCTATGGTATGAGGGAACCAACAAACCATGGAGACGACTGCTACTTTTGCTCCTGCGATATCGGGTGTCAATTCAAAAAATAAACACAAAATTTATTATCCTGATTTATCTTCTGCTAAACGACCTATATCTCATGAACTAGGAATCCCTATTCCTCCACCTTTTCTTCACACCATCCAACAGCGATCACCAGATTAAAGTTCAGACAAAAAACCGATGAAGACGAATTTAATCCTGAGATAGACCAACCTCAAAAGTTTATCCCAGCTGAACTACATGACTTAGTGAAAGACTTGGACCTATCGAAGGATGCTGCACAAATTTTATGATCACGACTGAAAGATAAAAATCTGTTGGCTCCAGGTACCACATTTTCATGGTATAGGCATCGTGAAAAAGAGTGCGCGGAATATTTTTCTCAAGAGGGCTCACCGGTGTATTGTCATTATAATTCTGAAGCAGTCATGAAATTGGGAACTGACAATTACGATTCCACATCATGGCGGTTATTTATTGATTCTTCTAAGATGAGTCTAAAGGGTGTCTCGTTGTACAATGATAATACTTATGCCTCAGTGCCTGTTGCTCACTTCATGCATTTCAAAGAAACATATAAGAATCGTGAGTTGTTCCTAAATAAAATAAAGTATAGCGATTATTGTTGGTAACTCTGTAGAGATCTCAAAATAATATCTATGCTTTTAGGTCAGCAGTCTGGATTCACAAAGTATTCATGTTTTTTGTGCGAGTGAGATAGTCGAGCACGAAATTTACATTACGTTAAGAGAGAGTAAGAAAGAAGGCTTGTCAACAGAAATGATAGAGGAGATCGATTGATTCAATTTTGCCAAAGTGAAGACTTCGTAATAACAAATACCTTTTTCAAATTACCTCCTCGACGGTTATATACATGGACATCTCCACAACATACCAAAGAAAAAATAGTGAGAAATCAAATAAACTACATTATGATAGCAAGGAGGTATCGTAATGCTGTTAAATGTACTAAGACGTACCCAGGAGCTGATATAGGCTGATATCATAACCCGGTAGTTACTGTGATAGAGGCGAGACCAAAAAAGATTAGAAGACCACACAGAAAGGCACTAGATTTAAATAAACTTAGAAACAAAAATATACGACAAGAAACAGGAGAAGAAGTAAATTAAAACCTCCGTTCAATGCAGCAACAAATTAACGATACAATTAACGTTAACCAAAAATTAAAGTACATAAATACAGCTATACAAACAGCAGGAAAAAAACATCTTACAAAAACAACAACAAAAAATAAGGGGTGGATGACACAAGATATACTAGACTTGATGGAAAAAAGAAAGTTACTCAGACAAATACAAAGAAATAAATAAACACATAAAAAAGAGAATAAAAGAAGCCAAAGAGGAGTGGATTAAATAACAGTGTGAAGAAATGGAAAACTATGAGAAAAAGTACGATGCATTCAATATGCAAAAAAAAGTAAAAGAGATAACAGGAAGCATAAAGAAATGCAAAATAGGTAAACTTAAAGACAAAGATGGAAATCTTATTGTAGATCTAGAGAATAAAATAAAAAGCTGGACAGAATACCTGAATGAATTATTTGAAGACGATAGAAACGAAAAGAAGTAGAATACTCAATAAAAAACGCTAAAAATGGAAAAGCAAGTGGACCTGATGAAGTTCCTACAGAACTGTTGAAGCTTTTGAATGATAAATTCGTAACCATAATATTACATCTATTCAATACAATATACAGTACTGGTATAATACCTCAAGAATGGTGCTGTCTACGTTTGTCACAATACTGAAGAAAACTAAGGCAATGCAATGTTCAGATCGTCGAACAATCTCCTTGATGAGTCATCTGCTTAAAATATTTCTTAGAGTCATCCACAACCGAATCTATCAAAAGTTAGATATCGATATTAACGATACACAGAAGGAATTCAGAAAAGGATTAGGTACAAGAGAAGCTCTCTTTGCCTTAAATGTCCTAACACACAGAGATGTCTAGATGTTAACCAAGAGGTACATGCCTGCTTGATAGACTTTGAAAAGGCCTTTGACAAAGTACGCCAAAACTAACTCAAAGAAATCCTGGAAGGTAAGAACATCGACACCAGAGACATACAAATAATATTAAATCTGTATTGGAATCAGCGAGCTAATATAAAAATAGAAGACCAAACATCGGACGAAATAGAAATACGTAGAGGAGTACGACAGGGTTGTATATTGTCACCACTCTTGTTTAATATATACAGCGAACAAATATGCCAAGAAGCTCTTTCACATGCAAACAAAGGGATAATAGTCAATGGAGAAGTTATCAATAACATTCGATATGCTGATGATACTGTGATAATGGCAAGAACAGCGGAAAATCTACAACATCTAGTTAAAAGTATGAATGAGATATGTAATAACTACGGCATAAGGATGAACGTCAGAAAAACCAAATATATGACTTTCAGTAAGAATCCAATACATGACACTAGTATCGCAATAAACTGTACCCAACTTGAAAAAGTAAACGAATACAAATACTTGGGAACCCTCATCAATGAAACATGTGACCAAAATCACGAAATAAAAAGACGTATTGAAGTTGCCAGGTCTACCTTTATAAAATTAAAAAAATCATTTTGTAATCGTGATATTAGTATTCATCTACGAACTAGAATGTTAAAATGCTATGTACTCAGTACTTTGATTTACGGTGTTGAGGCATGGACTCTTAAACAGAAGAATATTAAAAATCTTGAAAGCTTTGAGATGTGGTGCTACCGCCGTATACTAAAAATAAGTTAGGTGGATAAAATTACAAATGAAGAGGTAATACGCAGAATAAATAACGATCCAGAAGTTATCATGAACATAAAAAAGAGAAAGCTTGAATACTTAGACCATCTGATGAGAGGACAAAAGTACACATTTCTATAAAATATAATGCAGGGAAAAATCCAAGGACGCAGAAATCCGGGCCGTAGAAGAATGTCCTGGATGAGAAATTTAAGAGAGTGGTTTGGCTGTACCACTAACGAATTATTCAAAACAGCAGTGAATAAAATTAGAATCGCCATAATGATATCCAATCTCCGATAGGAGAGGCACTCAAAGAAGAAGAAGAAGAAAGAATAAAAGACTTAACCGGGACAAAAAAATGTGCAAAGTGATACATTAGTTGACCCAAAATTAGTTCTTGTGTCTCCTCTTCACATAAAGTTAAAATTGATGAAGCGGTTTGTCAAAGCTTTAAATAAACATGGTGACTACTTTACATAATTATCTGTACAAATTTCTTGCACTTTCTAAAGCTAAACTTAAAGAAGGAATTTTTGTAGCCCTCAGATTCGAACCTTAAAATCGGTCAGATTGTTCCAGAATACAATGACCCAGGATGAATCTGAAGCATGGAGTTATTTCGTACAAGCAATAGACAGTTTCCTTTAAAACAATAAATCACAAACCATAAAGTAATTGTAGCCAACATGGTCGAAAATTATAAAAATCTGGGATGCAATATGGATATAATTTTTTGGATTCCCACGTTGACTATTTTCCGAAAAATTTTAGATTGTCAGCCAGAAGCAGGGAGAGAGGTTTCATCAAGATATAAAGGATATGGAAAGGCGTTACCAAGGAAGGTGGGATATAAGAATGATAGTTGATTACTACTGGACCTTGAAGAGAGACTCGATTACAAAAATCCATAAAAAAAAACCACAAAAATACCCTTTTCATGGAAAAAAAGCTGTTTGTATAACGGACCTCGGATATAACGGAAAAAAAGGGGTTAGTAAAATTGTATTTTACAAAAAATTTCAATAAAATTTAGCATAAAAGGAGCATAATTGGGAATACCGCCAGAAGTGGTGAAATGTTCATTGCTTTTAGACAACGCTCCTGCTCACCTCTCTGAAAATATTCTACTTTCAGAAGATGTATGTTTAGCCAAACAATACATCACTTATTCAACCCATGCATCGCAGAAAGTTTTTAGACGAAGTAATGGTTGTATTGCACGATGGAGATAATGCAGAATATAGAAGAAGAAGTCAGCGTAGCTTGAAAAACTTAAGGTCTTACAATTTAAAATCAACATTTTTTAGTTTTTCTGCAGCATGGGAGTAGTTGAAAGAGCAAACATTAAAAAATGGTTGGAAGAATTTGTTTGATGGCCAAGATGCATAGATTTAGAAGGGTTGGAATTTACTAATCATTGTAGGTCAATGAGTCACTCTCATGAGTTATTCTCTCAAGCTACTTCTTAGGATAATTCTTAATAGAATCAAGCAGAAATGTGAAGACACAATGGGAAATAAACAATTCGGTTTCAGGGAAGGATTGGGAACAAGGGAAGCTTTGTTCTCACTGCTAACACTACTTCAACGATCATGGGAAGTACAGGAACCAATTTACGTCTGTTTTATAGATTTTGAGAAGGCGTTTGATAGGGTTCAGCATGATAGGCTTTTTGAATATCTAGAAATAATTGGAATAGATGATAAAGATCTGAGACTATTACAACATCTATATTGGAATCAAGAAGCTTCTATTCTGGTAGACGGCAAAGAAACAGACAAAATTTGTATTCAAAGAGGTGTTAGACAGGGTTGTGTGTTGTCCCCAACTTTGTTTAACGTTTACTCAGAAATAATTTTTAACAAAGCCTTGAAAGGGCAATGTGGAGTTCGAATCAGGGGAGAAACTATTAATAACATCAGATATGCAGATGACACCGCAATCATGGCTGAAAGTATCGAAGATCTTCAATTCCTTATAGATGAAGTCACTAGAGAATGCTCTAATAATGGAAAACCATAAATACAAAAAAGGCAAAGTTACTTGTGGTTAGTAAACAAGAGCTCGGCGCTATGCAACTAATTGTCAATAATGAACCGATAACAAAAGTTACCCATTTTAAATATCTAGGATGTTGGATAAACGAGACACTAAATCCGGATGAAGAAATTAAAACTCGTATAGAAATTGCAAGAGGAGCATTTATGAAACTTAGATCTATTCTGAGCAATTCTCAGCTGAACTTACAGCTGAGAATTAAGTTCCTAAAATGTTATGTGTATCCTGTATTACTGTATGGATGTGAAACCTGGATTATGAAAGATAACATGATGAACAAATTAGAAGCCTTCGATATGTGGTTATATCGTAGAATGCTTCAAATATCATGGGCTCAATACATTTCAAACAGAGAAGTCTTGAACAGAGTAGGTCAAGGTGAAGGTGGCTTAATAAAGATGATAAAAAAGAGAACACTCGAATATCGAGGGCATATAATGAGAGGAAGCAGATACAGGATAATTCAGTTGATACTCTACGGAAACTGGCTTATCAGCAGATGAATTATTACATGCCGCGCAAGATAGGGAACAATATCGGCAAATCGTCGTGGAAGCTACCCACGCCTAAAACTTGGGCACGGTACTCAAAGAAGAAGAAGTAGGTGACAATAAATAATAAGGCAGGAGAACATGTAGCTGAGGAAGATGTTTTACAATGGCTAGTAGTAGATCTAAAGAAGGTGACCCTGGGCTAGAAAACGTGACACTGGATATAACATCATTACTGAAAGTGAAATAGCAGATGAAGTTATGAACCTAAAGGATGAAAGTTCCGTAATTTTAGAGAGTTGATCATAAAAAAAAACAGCAAAAATCGAAATTGCAAACGAAACTTGATTCCTTTTTTAAAACATGATTACAGACAGCAAGCGCGTCGATATCCACAGCAACGTCACTTCACGACGAATGTCCGAAGACTAGAATTTTGTTTGTATTTTGTATTTTTTATATATATCTGCATACAATACATATATATATATATATATATATATATATATATATATATATATAAATATATATATATATATAATATATATATATATATATATATATATATATATATATATATTGATTTATTTTAAACATATTTTTATATAATGGACTTTCGGCTTTAACGGACACCCCGTTCCATCAAGTCGTCCGTTATATCGAGGTTTTACTGTATTTTTGGCAGTTTCTATGAAAAATTTCAAACACACTTTTTTTGAAAACCTGACGTGCTGGAAAAAAAACTAAGTACAGATTCGTGATCAGCACATCCCATTTACTATAGGACACATAAAAAACTTAAAACACTTTTTTATAAAAAAAAAAATGTAATTAAAGCGATGCAATCAATATAAACGTATCTAGTAATCTAGTAATGTAGTAATTAGTAAAAAACAAACCTTTCACAGACTCTCATACTTCTCTCGAAATAGCTGTAAGCTTCATTTAAATTTTGTTCAGCATCAGATTGAGTCTCCAAATATTCAGTTAAATAAACGTGACCAATACTAGCGTATGCCCTCTGGATCTCTACATTATGGTTTTCAGACTTTACTGTATCTGTAATAAAAATTAATATTACAGACTTGTATAGTATAAAATTTTCTTGTAATACTTACCGAGATATCTTTTGTGATACGCTAAAGCAGTTTTAAATTTTTTTAATTCTAAATGTGCCTCACCGATCGCTCGGTTAGCACCGGCATAGTCAATATATTTGTGTTTGGCTTTGTAAAGCCTTGCAAGCACTTTATATTCTTTAATGGCCAGCTGAAATCGTCCACTTTCCATGTAAACGTCTGAGAGATTTGTACACGTTGCAACCAGGAGCTCATTGTCGCCTTCCTTTCGAGCTTCTCTTTTACGTTTTTGAAGGTCTAAAAAACATGACATATAACTTTAAATAAATTCTCAAAGCAAAGGAAAACTTACTAAACGATTTAAACAATTTACTAATACCAAAAATTGTTAAACATAAATGTTGAGCAAAAAAAAAAAACAAAAACAATCACCGCAACAAAATCAAAAAAGGTCTCTAACAAAGATGTGGTCTATCACTTACACTTTATACAATATATACACCAGAGGTGACGGCAAACGAAGAAATAAATATTGAGGAGGAAGGGGCAAACGGAACATTAAAGAAATTCAACTAACTGTCAAATAAACATCAAATCAAAAGGCGGATATTTTAAAGCGCTGACAAAAAAATATCAATTTTAAAGGTTTTTTCTTCACTTTTACGGTATCACTTGTAGGTGTAAAGACACATTAAACTAGTTGTCTTCTAAGAAAGTGTATATTTCGTGTATAGGAAGTGAAATCTCTAAAAAATTGACATGGAAGAAATTCCACCGAAGCCTCCAGATAGGGAAATTTTATTAGGAGAAGATAGGATGATGGAATTTGAAGAATTAAAAAAAATAGCAGCATTAGGGTAAATGATGGTAACAAACGAAAAAAGCCAAACAACTAGCACTAACGAGGTAAGGTAAACAATTTGATTTTAATAACGATGCAACTTTGACCCAATTTAATAAAATAAATAGATCAGATAATCCAAATTTAAATAAAGTTATGAATATAAGATTAAATAATAGATATAAATTATTAGATAATGTACAGTTGCGGTCACGGAATAGTTTACAGGTTCACGTATCTAGGAGCCCATTTTTTAAATTTTTACTTCGTTTAAACGCACCTTTTACGTCAAAGTGACGTTGCCAGTGGTGTACTAGCTAGAATAGGTAGATTAAAATTAAAATATCAAAATATTTTACAAAATGAAAAATATAGAAAACAGTTTTTTGAATAAAATGGATTATGATCTTAATAACGAAAATAAAGAAGTCTTTTTTTTTAATATGCATTTTATTTTAAATCTATTTTATATTAAATAACGATAAACAATGATAAATAATAATTAATATTTGGTGGAAGCCCCATTCTTGTCAATACAATTTTGCAGTCTTCTGTTCATAGATAGCACCAATCCCCTCATGTTATAGTTAACAAACTCTTCCCATGCCTGCTCAATTGCTTCCCATAATTCAATTCTATTCCGTGGTCTAAGGTTTCTTTCATTTAGTTTCTTTGTTAACTCTGCCCACACATTTTCGACGGGGTTAAAGTCTGCACTACGGGAAGGCCACGGAAGAACATTAACATCAGTTTCTTCTAGCCATTCTCGAACAATTCTACTCGTATGCACCGGGCAATTGTCATGTTGGAAGATAAAGTCGTTGTTGGGGAATCTCTGGATCACCGATGGCAACATTGTGTGCTCAATAATATGTTTGTAATATAATCCTGTTAACTTCTCCTCTACATGATAACAAACGCCCGGGCCTTCGGCACTTATCCATCCCCATACGTTGACAGAGAATCCTCCACTATTTCTTAAATGATGCGTATACTGTTCATCATACCTATGATTTCTCGGCCTATAAACTCTTATTCGACCATTATTATACGACTGAAATACTTTTTCATCGGAAAATACAACCCTAGACCAAAAATTCTCATCGCGGTTTATAAATTCATTACAAAATTCAACTCGTCTCCTCTTGTGATCCTCAGTCAAAAAAGGTTTCCGTGCAGCTACACAATTTAGCAGTCCACTTGCTTTAATTCTTCGACGTGCAGTGCGAATATTGCCTGGAAACGCTGCCTCTTCTCTTGCCTTTTGAGCTGTGGCAAAAGGAGATTCTCTCAAATAATCTACTAACATCTCATCCTGTTGATCTGTGGAAATCTTCTGCCCTCCTGAACCGCCCAACCGTGCTATAGAGTGAAAATTATCCCATCTTTGTTTAATCTTCCATATTCACATATGACTCACGTTCAAATCAGCAGCAACTTGCCTTAGTGACCAACCTTCTTCGAGTTTGGCAATTGCTCTTGCTTTTTGCGCATAATTCAAATGTATTCTAACCATTTTGGAAGAGTTTAATATACTTTTATTTTATTGTTGAACACTCGCGAAAGCATTGACGTTTTGAAATTTTTTGACTTTGACATTTATCAAATCCGTACGACACTGCAATTTTACAGTATTACAATATAAAAAGTAAGGTGTAAACTATTCCGTGACCGCAACTGTACATATAACATATAGAAAATAAAAACGGTAATATCGGCAAATTACACAGGATAGGCAAAGCCCGATTAATTTTACGTTAAGTACCTGAAATTGGAAATAATATCACACAAATTACGGTAGTTGGTAGGAATAAAATAAAAGTAGAACTCAATAAGGTTGCTAGTTCTAATAAATGAATGGATTCTGAAAATTTAAAAAGCAAACAGTAACAGGCATATATTCCAACGTTTTTTACTCACAGGAAAGGGGTTATAAAATCTTTAGATAAAGAGATAGAAGAGGATGATTTGTTATCATCAATTCAACCTAGGTTTGGAATAGGATTTGAAGTCTTACATGCAAAAAGAATAATGGGGAAAGTGGTACAAAAAAATGGATCTACTAACTACGTAAAAACTGCAACTCTAATAGTAACTTTTAAAGATCAGTTTATACCTACCAACGTAGTAATAGAAAAAATGATATACGAGGTGGAAAATTACGCGTCCAGAATGTTACAATGTTTAAAGTGCTTGAGATTTGCGCATATAAGTGCCCAATGTAGGGGAAAAGATAGGTGTGAAAGATGCGGTGAAGAACATAATAAATCAAATTGTTCCAATCCGAACAATTTATTTTGAGTATTGTGCAAAGGAAAACATAGCCCTACTGACCAATATAGATTATATTCTATTCAATTTCTATTCGAAAATGACAATATATGATAAACAACCCAAATTACAATATTGATTTTAATACTCTGCAACAAGTACATATATACTTCTTAAGGGACTACAGCAATTTGCCTTTATCTTTAAGATTAATTAATGTTTATAGCTGACTGTTCAAAGATTGTTATTAGTCCAGGCTGTGGACTAAAACGTTAGGTAAAATAATTCCATAATTAATTGTAGCAGTTGGACGTTGTAGGGGAGACCTTTCTAAGTAATTCTTATGTAAAAGCGACCAAAAATTTTTGGTTTATTTTTTTATGGACGAAAAACTGAAAAATTCGTATATTTTTCCTTTTTTTAATATATCATTTAAGGTAATTATTTTGAAGCAAAACTGCTTATAACATATTATTCCTTATTTTTTTACCTTTCATTTAAGCTTTTGTGAGTTCAATTTGGTCCAATAGTTTATGCATAATTAGCCTTCAAATCAGAAAATCGCTGTTTTTTTCCAATTGCAATATTTATTTCAAAAATGATTTTTTTTTAATATTTTAACCTTTAAAATGAAGCTCTTTTGATTCCCCATCGAATGAAATTTTGTAAAGTAAAATTCGTTAATTTGTTGCTGAGAAACATTCATTTGTTGTTCCCACGACCAAAATTTTGAAATGCTGTAACTTTTTTTTTTAAATGTTAGAAAGATTTTTCAAAGTGATTGGTCTTCTTTGAGATTTAAATTCTTATTTCATACCCTGAAATATTCCAAAAAAATATTTTTTACCCCTTATTTTTTAATTTTAAAATGGGTAAGAAGGCTTTGGTAAGAAATTGGCAAAATATTTCATTTTACGGACACATGAACAAGAACTAACTGAAAATGAACAGCAACAAGACTCAGAAATGATATCTAGCAAAGATGAAGAAGAGTGGTGTGTCAATTTCAGCAATTATTACTATGGAAAGAATAGGTATAAGTGGAGTAAAAAGGAGCCAACTAGACACGCTCCATACGCCTGCTCACAATATTGTTGTACTCCCATCAATCCGTTCAAAAGTAGAACAGTAAACGAGTCTCGTCTATTATTTTAATAAATTGTTTTCACCAGATATTTTTAGTCTTGTTGTCAAGAGAACTAACGAAAAACTCACAACTTTTCGGCCAAAATATCAACAACACTCGCCAACTCGGACAAATCCGAGTTGGCTGATACTGATGAAATAGAATTGAGAGCTTTCTTGGGACTTCTTCTTTATACTTCTATTTATAAGTCAAATCATGAGGATGTACGAAGTCTGTTTGCTACGAATGGGAGAGAACTGTCTATATTGCCGCCTTAAGGTTTGACGATGCCTCGGACGGAGAACAAAGATGATAATTCAGCTGCTGCTTTCCAAGAAATTTTTGACTTATTTGTAAGCAATTCAAAAGATGCATATACGGTTGGGAAAAATGTGTGTGTAGACGAAATGCTGGTAGGCTTTAAAATGTATATTCCCAGCAAACCCTGTAAATATGAGATAAAAATCTTATGTAAAACTGATGCACGAACTAGGTATTTACATATTGCTTACATTTATGCTGGGAAAGGTTCAGATGTATTTAGCCTCACAAATGAAGAAAGAAGAATGAGCATACCTACTCAAGCAGTTATAAGATTGGTCAAACATCTTTGCAATACTAATATTGGTGACAACTGGTTTAGTTCAGTTGATTTAGTACAACATATTTAGTACAACAATATGAACTCACTTACGTTGGCACAATGCGAAGAAATAAAAAAGAAATTCCTCCACAGTTCCTTCTGCGACCAAATCGTAATGAAGACGACACTTTGTATGGATTTACCAAAGACCTAACACTTTTATTCCGTATAACTAAGAAAAATAAATGAAGTAGATGCAGATAATGGACTACCAGAAATAAATTCTGTTTACAACTTGACCAAAGGAGGTGTAGAAGCGATGGATGAAAAGTGTGTAAAATATTCCTGTATAACGCAGAACACGTAGATGGCTCATGTTTTTTATAAAATATTAGTCGTATGTGGAATAAATTCAAACATTGTGTTTACTTCGATTCAAATTTATAGAAACCCTGGCCGATGAACTTGTTTCCTCA